TTTATTGGAATGTAAAAACTGATAAGCATTGCTATAAAACGTTTTGATATTCTAGCAATCATTTTGACTTTTGCACAAAATTATTTTGATTATTGAACAAAAATTATTTTCAAATCTGGATTCAGCAAAATTGTTCTTTCCGTGCAGAGATACTATAATTATCATTAATGGGCCTTATTATAGCGTGTGTTTCAATTTATAATACAATCTCCGTCTTTTAAACGATGACCTGAATTCATACGATCCAGTTTCGACGGGAGCGGTGGAAGAAAAAAAGATTCTTTCATCTACTCCTGCGATTTTTCTTCATCGGACAAGGGTGGGACGGGTCCCGTGCTTCTTTTCCACCTTTTCTCCTCGTCAACGTTTATCAACTGGGCTTCCTTGGAACGTGCTGAAGAATCCGCGCGGGCAATCAAGATAAGCCTGGTAGGAGGACTCGGCTAAAGACGTTGGTACCTACTTCGGTTTGTGGAAAGCGTCATTAGTAGTCTCCAGCCGTGCGAAATTAGGTAAATGATGCCACAGTGGATTTCGAGAATTAAATTACAATTGAACATAATGACATAATGAAATTCGTGTATCTAAATCCGATCTTTACGCGTATACGAAATATTGTAGAAGAAGACTAAAAGAATGGCGCATATCTCTAATTTTATCCGCTTATATTGTCATTTTTTAAATAATTTTTTTATTGTTGTGTGTTTAAAATTTGAATAGATAGCTCTTAAAGAATTTAAAGTTACGTTCGAAATTTGTACAGATAAACGATTGAGTAATGTGATCGTGTTTTCGGAAAGTATGAGAACATATATATACGTTTATGCTGCATTGCATATTTTAACAGTTATTTCAGAAAGTATGAGAACATATATATACGTTTATGCTGCATTGCATATTTTAACAGTTATTATATAGGTACAAAGGTTGATAGTGTAGTGGCAAAAAATAAAAAATGTGAAATAGCGCGCGCAAAGCGGGCGCCTGTGATGCTAGTATTTATAAAATATCGGTAATACGCACTTGTAAAACATGAATATATATATCAAATAGATTTCGAAAATTAATACATACATATGCTGTAAAATTGATTTTTGTGTTTACACATATAGTTTAACTTTCAAAGGTATATTATTTAATTTAATGTAATTTGGAAATGTACATTAAATTATTTTTATATTTTAATAATTAATTATGTACTTAAATATTGCAAAACATTTTCGCACTTGCATATTTTGCAAACGCTGGAATCATTACTTAGTAGGAATTTTTTGTTTTACGGTTTTTTAACATTTTTTTAAACGTTTATTTATTTTAAACTGTTTTTTTATTATAATTTAATTATTAATTGTTTTATATGTACATATCCACTCTTAAAAAGGTCGTGTTAAATCGTCGATAGTCGAATTATAAAATAAATAATACATAAATATTACATAAAATAATTTGTGCACAGATTAGAATTCAAGTATAATTTGGAGAGAGAGATTTTAGCATTAGGACTTACCAATATTTGAATTATTTAAATAATTTGAAGGTCTGAATTTGAATAAGTAAATAATAATTATTTCGAAAAATTTCAATATTTTAGTGTTCGGATAAGTTTAATTTACAACTTTAACGTATACATTTAGATTATAAATGTAATACGTTTGTATAAGTTATAAAAGACGTCTTTATAAGGTGATAAAGAATATAATGAATGATAAAGAAAATTCAAATACATCATGACTATTCGATTAGTTAATAATTTGAATTTAATAATTCAATTAGTATATTATATATTTGGCACAAAGTTAATGCTTCAGTAATAAAATTACTTTACATTATGTAACTCAAAGCGAGTAATTTATACTCATCAAGTGCGCGTGTTAGTTCTATTTATACATTCCAGTATTCAAATCAAGTTTTTGTTATTATTAATATTACATCCAATATGGTCTCCAGATTCTGTCACGACATGCATAAATCCTTTGTTGGCTTCTGTAATTGGAACCTTCTGTAATACGTATACGGAGTAATTAGAAAATCGAGAAAATATAGTACAATTATAAGAATTACAAGATCATATTATTACAATTAGGTATTGTTAAATTTGATTGTAGAATCAAAAGTGGGGCTGTTATTTATATATTTCTTAAAAAGAAACGTCGAAGCTCAATTGCTACTTTAATTCCATAATACTTGTGCAGTTACTCATGTATATAAGAATATCCATTAAATCACTGATTGTTCAGATCATATAGATAACACAGGATATTTATAAATTAACAGAAATTAATATAAAATAAATTAAATTAAATTTGAATAATCTAATTATATTAATGATACATACAATAGAGATTAAAACAAAAATTCATACAGAATTTATATTTTTGAATGTTAAGTATATTCAATAGTTTTATGTATTTTTACACATAATAAGATAAATTAATCACTTATTGTTAATTTAAAAAAGACATTAATATTTGTAATATTTATAACTGTTTATTTTCTTGCGGATTACCTTCAATATATTATCACGATGAAAACATATATAATTTTCCTTAGCTATGTAGCTATATAGCTATATATGTCGTTTACATTTATGTAAAATCCAAGTATTATTGCATGTCCTGAACATCTGTTTATATTATGTGAAGTGCTTAAATGTTCTTCTAAGGCGTCTATTTCGGAATATATTTTAGAATAAGTGCAATGTACGCAATTTGCACGATACTTTATCATGTCGAATGTGAAATGTGGCGACAGCCAAGTACTTGTAATTTTTTCTTGTATCGCAAGTAATACTTGTGAATGATATCTTTTCAGATGGCTTACTAACCCATATTTGTTATATGCACTAAAAAATAAACGGTCACAAGTTTTGCATTTTGCAGTATATAAGTCTACTTTTAAGAAATATTGCCATAACACATTGTTGTCGTTATTCCATCTTGACAAATCCTCTTCTCTAAAGATTTTATGATTACGGTACAAATGTGCTTTCAAATAGTTTAAATCGTGTGTACCGATATTAGTATCACAAGTATTGCACTTCATGGAAAAACGGTCTAATTTACTGAAATGCTTATACAACCAAGATTGTTGGTTATTTCTCTGCGCTGGCGCCATATCCGCAGTCCGCACACCGCACCATATCACGGAACGTGTGTTACTGAATGTACGAGAATTTAGCCGTTATGTTTACGTTCGAGATTGTTTTCCGAACGATCATTTGACCGACGCGTGCCGAACACGTCGCTTACACGGAAAGAACAATTTTGCTGGATCCAGATCAGAAAATAATTTTTGTCCAATAATCAAAATAATTTTGTTGAAAAGTCAAAATGATTGTGCTAGAAATGAATTGTGCTAGAATATCAAAACGTTTTGTAGCAATGCCTATCATTTTTAACTTTTCAACAAATTTTGATTATTAAATAAAAATTATTTTATTCAGCAAAATCTTTAAATCTTTCGACAAAATCGTTCTTTCCGTGTACCTATTGCGCAGGGGTACCGCGATCTGACAGACTAATGACTAAATTGCGAATTGTCACTTGCTAACCGCGATTTAAAACATCGAGTCAGAGCATTGCGAGTTAAGAAGCAGGATGCTCATCGGAGTTACGCCTGAATTTCAGTTAATATACGTTCGTACTTCCGATCCAAGGATCAGTGCGATATCGCAGTTCGCGGACTCGTGCGAAGTTTTGTATTTTCACTCTGAATACATTCTACGATATCTCCGGTTGTCATTCGCCTATTGGCATTTCCTGTAAATTAATTTCGGCCGTATGCGGGCCTTCGACTGAATATCGATTATATCAAGGAAAATATACAGAGAAAATTTGGAGAAGGTCAAAGAGAAGCATGAGACTATATTAAAATGTAAATAATACTGTAATATTGTTTGAATTTTGCTAACTGTTAAGTCATATAGTTTTATTTCTATAATTACCCGATATATATATATATCTCCGATATATATATATATATATATATATCTCTATATTTTCCTTGATATAATCGATATTCAGTCGAAGGCCTGCGTACGGCCGAAATTAATTTACAGGAAATGCCGGTAGGCGAATGACAACCGGAGATATTGTAGAATGGAACCAGAGATATCGTATTATAATATATATATATACCTATATATATATATATACATATATGTGTGTATGTAAGTATGTATGTATGTATGTATGTATCAATATATCGAGTATATCTATACATATAATCATGTCATGTACAATCGCATAGACATATTAAAAACTGAAATCTTTTTTTATTTTAAAATGAACCGAATTAAATCCGTTCTAATCTGCTTTAGTACGTTATGAGTAGTAGTACTAGTAAAAAATGGTAATCTTCTATTTCCCTTTTTTATTATTTGATTCACGAAAAAATTTCCAGATGGATTAATGGGAAAACAAATTTCGACATTATCGCCGTCCATTACGTAGGTAGATCAGTTTCATAGGAATGAGATTACGCCGCGCCGATGTGACGGGCGTCGGTTTACAGACGAGGTCGCTTTCCGTCGGTGTTTTCGCGAAGGGGGCAAAACGTAAATTCGCTTTCCGCCGCCGATCGATATTCAGCAGGGAAACTCAAATCAAATCTCGGATCCGCCTTAGAAACTGAGACTCCGCCAGTCTTATTTTTTGCTTGCTTCTTTCTTCTCTCTTTTTTTAGGAGAATTTGCATCCTCGAGTGTATCACGCTGATGAAATCCCGCAGCTGAAATAAAAGTCACTGTTGCGGGAATAAACGAGAGAAAAATGGCGAGAGAACTGCGGAATACGAAATCTGTCGGGTGGCTTGATGGCCCGAATATGTTGACTGATGAATGATACCGAGGATCGTCAAAAAACGTTTTGTCCACTGGAGAATTCGGGAGTATATTTTGAATCTTCCTCAAACGATATTTTGATAATCTATTCTAGCATAAAATTACGAAAGTTATTTTTTTTATTACAATATTAATCCTAATTTAATTATAATTAATGTAATTTTATAATCAATCTAATATATTTTTATTAAATGTGAAAGGAATCTGAACGCGGTTAAAAACAATAAAATGATTATATTACACATATATAAATAAGTTGCGAATGTGTGCAAATGAGATGATAAACAAAAATTTGTGCTGGCACAAAGTTATAATGTTACAGAATTTACTTAGCTATTTATTAGTTTTTTTTATTCACGCAAATGAAAATCTAATCATTATTCATGGAATACATGCGGCTGAATTTTAAATAGAAACATATTGCATCCGCGCGTAACGTATTTGTATTGAGATTCCCTCCGAAAATCGCCATCGCGGCACAGCGAAGCGTATCCAACGGAAAGGGAGGCAATAACGTATATACCGTTTGACTTCCACACACGCGACTAATTTCTTGATTAGCCGTTCCCGTAATTTATCGAGCGAGTCGCGCGCAATAGACGAAACCGTGTGATGCGCTCACAAAGCGGAAAATTAGTGTTTAACATGAAACGCGCCCGTTTCGAATATCCACTTTCACGATCAGTGTTTCGGCTTCGTCATTGCGCGAGTGTATTCTTGTGCGAACGACTCTATACCGGCTGCACCTGTCGATGCACCCGAAAATTAATTGCGCGCGACGACGCATTCGTTATGTCGGGGGTGGAGGGGAAACGCGACCTGATGATCGCTTCGTGATTGGGACAAAATTGGGGCAATATGATACAGTGATAACACGTTTTAGTGAAACATTCTAGAGGTGAGAAAAACAATAATTGCTGCAGTGCTTAATAAATATTGATAGTCACGGAATTATTTCGTTTGCAATTGCGCCGTAAAAATATTAACAAATAACGTTCGTTAATCGATAACAAATTGTTCGATTAAATGCAAAGAAATGCTCTTTAGGAGGAAAGTTTCTCGAATTTTGTCTTTGATGTAAAAATATTTTATTACCTTAATTATTAGAATTGTATCGTCTATACATACCTTATTATTGTCAAAGACAAATTCACATTGGATCGCGATAATCTCTATAAGGGTCGAACGACTCGATATTTGCGGATAATATACCGTGTTATTTAGCGCACGCCGGCGAAGTTGAGAAAACATAGCCGCGATTTTAAACCCCCTGACAACACGACTAATCCCATTACCGAGGCATACATGAAGGGGCACACGCACACCCCTCCTTCCCTCTCCCCCCGCCCCGCCCCTCAACCCGCACTCTCACATCCTCGCGTCCGCCTATTAAAAATCACGGTAACGTTATCTTAGCGGGGCCGAGAGGTCGTGAATAATACAATAACGCTTCTCTCTCTCCCTATGCCTAAGCATATGTCCGCCGGATCCGCGATTCCAAGGGGGAATGCCCCGCGGAACCCCTTCGACTATAAGGGGTCGAGAGCCACCCTTCTCTGTTGCAAGAGGGAAACGATTTGGACCATACAGTCCTCGTCCTGCGGACTCACGTGCGTCCTTAGCGGCGTATCTGTAGCGTCATTACGTAGGAAGGATATTTTAATTTCGTGCACGACCCTCTACCTGGAGTCGTCCCCATTGGTCGCTCCCTTTTATCCGGGGCGTGACTACCCTCGGTACGGTCCTCGATAGTTGTCCAATCTTTGCGGCTGGTGGAGCGCCCGAAATTTCCGTTTCGAGAGCCGAGCCTTCGAAAACCTGTGTCGAGAGCATCGAAGCGTGGCCGATTTTTAATCAGTAACAGCCACAGCGAAGCGCAGCATCACGGAGTGATGACAGTTTAACACATAAGATTTTAATTATTTTATCGACGATATTTGGATTTTTGTAAAACGTTTGTTACTTAATACTCGGGGTGAGTCACGAAAACAGTGTGATATCTTGGTGGCGCATTCGTTATTTAAAACCGAAATCGGAACTATATTGCCATTGTAAGAATTTCCTTTCCAATATTCTTCCAAAGATTCAAGATAGGGGATTTCTAAGATTTAAGTAAGGAATTTACCTTTGACATTTCGTGCATTATAGTTGCGTATAATAAGAGACAAGGACGTTACATGTGAATATATATATATATATATATATATATACGTGTTTTTATGGAAGACGTGCACTCGAGCCAAAGGTATTAAGATCTTAAAGGGAAAATCACCTTTGTCAAGTCTCTCTTTGCTATAACGGGAACGTCTCTACGTTGAAATTACATTATGTTAGAAACGCGAACGGGTGATTTTTCGTTTGATTTCGGTACACGAGATACTCTCGACTCCGAATCCAGTATATCGATCGCCGGCTCAGAGCTAATTGAATCAAAGCGAGGGGATATAGCGGGAAACTCGATAATAATCGTTTACCGTGGTCACGATAGAATCTGCTTATTGTTAATTTGAGGTAAGAACCAAAGCCGGCACAGCGTCGCGATTCACGTAATTGCAAATGTTACGACATACTTTTTCAGCGATATCCTTGTAATGCGTTACGACACTTTGTGTGCTCGGTCGATGCGAAAATCGGTTCAGGGATATGGAATCTAAACACGAATTGAAAATCTCTCTCCGGAATATCGGGGTAATCGCTGCCGCTACACATATATACGATTCGGCTTAGCCGGGCGAACTTATTCCCCCCGTTGTGAAACTTTCAAGGTATCCTGCTGCGAGGCAATATCGCCGGTGGCAGGTCTTGCGAAATGCTCGGGACTGCAGTCAAGCTAAATATTTGATAACATATCTCTCGGTACCTCGTCCAGAAAATTGCGAAATGAAGCCGAGGAGCTTCGGAAAGGATTTTCTCGCGATCGTCTCGATGATAACTGCCCCTTCCCCCCCCCCCCCCCTCCTGTGCTTGAGAGGCATTAACCTTTTGATGCACACCGAGACTTACATAAACGTCGACAAACGTATTACACACGAACATCCGTGTATTTCTCTCGAAAAACCGAACGTAAACTTTGACTGCAGGCGGTCTGGAACTGACGGCTTAACGAGCCGGAAGAGAGAACTTCCATCCTCAACTTCCGCAAATCGCATTTCAACACTTCTCGCCTTTCCTTATATTTTCCACTTCCTCGTCGTTTTCTCATTTCAGCGGCTGACTTGTCACTTTTACGGTACGCGATACTTGATCGCGCACTCTCGTGCGAAAAGCTACTTTTATTTCGATGAAATTGTATCGCGACGATAAAATCGACTAA